TTTAAAATGTAATATGAACTTCTGCATCTACAAGTTAAAAACAAAGCACAGGTCTTATGCTGAAGATTTAGTCTGCTATGACCAAAATATGTGTACAAAAGCTGTTTAGGAAGCAGTATTGCATATACATTCCTGCCTCTCCTTTTTCTTCCTTCCTCTCCCTTTCTGGTCTTCGGAGAGGACAAAATACACCATTTCCTGAGAGCTGTGTTCACAGAGAGAGCTAACATTCCTGGATGCAGAGAGACAGGAGAACTTTGTTTCCCTGGCAACTGGAGCCACCAGAAAGTATTTCCAGCATCTTCTTCCTTCAGTCAGGTTCACTATTATTGTAGCCTTTGGTCAATAAGGTATTAAACCCAATTATGAACTAAAAAAGCGTCTCGAGAGCCTGCTCCACTTAACTCATCTGGCCCCCCCCCAACATATAGAATAAAAAGTGACCTCTGCAAATGGTCCCATATCACAGTATCCAGCGTTGAACTTGAAGGTCTGCCCCATCCTTCATGTTTAACTTAAACCTTGAAAGTGTCACGGTCTCCTGGGAAACAATGCTGGCAACTAAGCAGCTTTCACTCAAAACTTGCATGAGCTGGAGGGATGGAGTTGTGTCTCTGGTGCGGCACGGTGAGCGGGTGCCGCACGGAGTCGTGCTGGTGATTCAGTGCAGTTCAGTCTTACCTCTGACTCAGGACTGAATTAATGTCCTGGCACATTGTTAAGGTTTTGAAGCAGTTTGCTGATGGCAGCAGCTCTTACTTTATCTTTTGGTAATAAAAAAGGTGATGCTGAAGCCCTTCCCACCTGCTATTGTTAAGTATCATGTATCTCCGTCCCCTCATGTTCCTTATTCATTCAAAGAATTTCACTAGGATCACAAAAGACAACATTTTACAGATACAAAATTCCCAATTTGTGGTTGTCCTTCCATTTAAATGTAGCAATATTGTGTAGCTGATCTATGAATGAGGCAGAGCGCCTGGGGAGGGGGAAATGTTGTGTAAATGCACAAGTATCGTAGTGCTTAGGTACTGGACAACTGAGTGTGGTATTTCTTTACCTTTGAGGGCTGAGATTCACAGCTTAAACAATGTTCCCTAATATAGAATTTGGTATGTAGTTTTGTATTTTAATGAAAAAAAGTCCAGGTGATTTCTCTTGTATCTCCCAAAGTCCATTGAGGTGAACACTGACTCTACAGTGCCGTAGTGAAAAAATCTGGGGGCATATGAGCCACAGGTTTGTAACAACAGTGCTGGAGGAAAGTTGTAGCTGAGTGGTGAGACTGTGTTTTTGTGCTGTCTATCTTCCCTAAACCTTTCCTTGCTTTCCTTTGAAAGAACAGGGCCTTTTTTCTAGTGTGATCCCCCAGAGGTATTAGGGGCTTCTGGCATCCGTGTGAGGACGGACTGGGTTAGGACACCTGCAAACCCTTTCTTTCTCTTCCCTCATGACTTCAGGAGACTCCCAGCCTTTTCTGCAGGGCTATCGGGAAGGGCACTGAGCAGTTACGTGTTGAAGGAGAGGAAGATCATGATGAAGCGTGGCTCTCCCTCTGCCCTTGGTTTCTCTGTTGCTATCATTGCAGGTGTTTCTAGTATCTGTGGTGAGACCAGTTACTGCTGATAATCCAGATATTAAAGTTTTCATCAAGAAAGCAAAAACAAGAAAGGAAAACGTCATTCTTAACAATTTATATGGATTCGACTTGACTTGCAGAAGCAAAGGCATTTCTCTAGCCCAATGCTTGCTTTCTCCTGAAATGCAAAGACCTACAGCTACCAAGAGCCAGAGTTGAGCCTCCAACGTGGAGCACACACAGACAGAAAGCACCCGGCAACTGAAATGCTGTGTCTGGCTCACCCTGTAATTTGCAGTGTTGTGGTCAAACTCCACCTCATTCCAGTCCCATGTACTTACAATGCCCACTCCAGTAAGGGCCAGTGACCGTAGCTGCGAGCACATCATTTTTGTGCTAGCTCTAAGATCACTGGAGAGTTTCAGCACAGAAATCAGCTAGAGAAAGAGCAGCTTACTGTCCAGCCACTGATGCTTGAAAAACCTTTGAGTCTGCTATTAATCTTAATGAGATTTTTGTATCATCTGAGCTTTAGATTTATGCAAGCAATAACAGACTTTTCTTCCCCATATAGAAGTTTCTGATCCACCTGTAGCAATTGCAGAGTAACAAACTGTCGCTTCTTTCTTTCTTATTTCATCCTAACCCTTAGAATCTATTTATTGGTTATTTTTCAGCTGTATATGCTCAAATTTAAAGTGCTTATCCAAACAAACATGATTGCTCATAAGAGATGAATTATCAATGACTGTTAAAATATTGCTATCTTACAGCTCTCCTTTAATTCCAGAATGTGGAGAATTTAATTCCAGAATGTGGAGAAGCCCAAGGAAAATGTTAACACAAAGTTGAAAATTGCCAAGGAAAATTATATATGAGAAGAAGTAACAGTAGCAATTCCCTGCGGTACTTTTGGCCACAAAAACGATCAGAGGGGTGGAACACCTCTCCTGTGAGGACAGGCTGAGGGAGCTGTAGTTGTTCAGTCTGGAGAAGGGAAGCCTCCAGGGAGACCTTCTTGCAGCCTGCCAGGTCTTGAAGGGCTTACAAGAAAGATTGGGACAGACTTTTTAGTACGGCCCATAGTGATAGGACAAGGGGTAACAGTTTTAGACTAAAAGAGGGTAGATTTTTACTAGATCTAAGGAAGAAATTTTTCACAGTGAGGGTGGTGAAACACTGGCACAGGCTGTACCAAGAGGTGGTAGATGCTCCATCCCTGGAAACATTCCAGGTCAGGTTGGACGGGGCTCTGAGCAACCTGATCTGGTTGATGACATCCCTGCTCCTTGCAGGAGGGTTGGACTAGATGGCCTTAAATGGTCTCTTCCAACCCAAAGATTCTGTGTTTCTATGATTTGCAAAAGCCCATGAATTGCAGAGGACAAAAACAGGACAGAGGGTACATTTTAAGCCAGGATCTCCCTTCCTCTTCCAAGGAATTATTATTGTCCTGGATCTGTGTTCTATCCTTATAATGTATTTGGCTTGGGGGTGTTTTTGTCACATGTTTGCTGTTTTGCAATTTTCTACATCTTCGTTAAGGGTACAACTTTTACACAGCTCTATACAGATGGTAGTGAGCAGATGCTATGTTCTGGAGAAAGCAGTGACTGGAGTCAAAGCCATCACCATGCTTGCAAGCCTCTGCCTCTCAGAAAGGGGATTTGTACCTTTTAAACCTCTTCCATGACTATTAACTTTACAGCTGACATAATTTCTCATCTTGATGGTAGGTTTAGGAAAAAAAGTTTTAGAAATAAAAACTGCAACTTGATCACTGACACTCAATAAGAAGAGCATGAAGTAAAGTTCCAACATTAAGAAAGGATGAAGGAAAGCCACAATCCCTTTCCCAGCTGTCTGAGCTTCACCAAATGCCTAGAGAGGCATGACTGCTATTGCCAGCAGAGACCTGCTTTCCTGCTGCGTGTTCTGAGATGCAGCCAGCCTGGCTGTTCCCCGTCTCTTCCAAGTGAGTGGGAACAGCTCAGGGTCTCACCTCATCTCTCCAATTTGCCTTTTAGAGGGACTCCTAGTGGGGATTTCAAGGTCTGTTTGCAAATTAAGGCATAGGCTTTGAGGGATGTGATTCCTGCACACACCATCTCTCCATCCCTGTGCAGCTGGAGCCTGGGGAGAGCAGAGGTTAGGGACGCCTCTCCTTGCTTTGGCAACCTGCTCTTTCCTCCAAGTTGCAGATGTAAAGGAACAGGGGCACAGCCACCCAGTGGGAAGCGTTTTGGATGTACAATTGTGAAGCTGAGGCACGGAAGAGCTGAGGGACCAGGCAATGCATCTAAACTGGAAATTCCCGTTTTATTCAGCATCTCCTATTCTGCAGAAGCATGTGGGATTCAATAAGGCAGAGAGGTTCATTGCCTGAGGCCTGGGAGTGCAGGGGGAATGAGGAAGGCAGCTCGGAAGAGTGTATTAAAAATAAGCATTCATTCATTGCAGAACTTATTTTTGGATTTTCTTTTAATTTATCTGCCTCTCAGTGTTTAGACAGCAGTCATGTGAGCTTCTGAGCTGCAGGGACAGAGGCAGAGGAGAACGTGTGCATCAGTGCAGAGTGCTGCTGGAGCCCCGGCAGAGCGAGAGGGAGGCAGAGGGAGCCTGAGAGGGAAAAGGAGAAGTGGCTGGAGCTGGAACAGCAGCAACTGCTGCTAACACGTCGCAGCTCATGCCCGGGAATCGTCTCCGCTGCCAGCACGCCTCTCCGAAGGCGCAGGTGCCTCAGGTGCAAAAGTCCTAGAAGGTCGGTGGTACTTCCAGGAGCCAAGTGGAGCTGCTTTTCTTTTTTTTTCTTTTCCTGAGAAGAACATCTGTTTGAGGACTCCGTTCCTTTTCCAGGCTGAAAGAGGTATTTTGTGTCATTAATGTGTCTCTTCTTTGGAAGCAGGTATAGGATCGGGAAAAAAATAACTCAGGGCAGGATGTAAAAGCAGATGTGCAGAGAGGTGGTGTGTTTCTCCCTCTCCCCCCTCCTTATAGCAGAGCTTAAGCAGTAAGGATCCCTTGTCATGAGGATACTATTTGACTTAAAATATGGAGGATGGGAGAGAGAGGGTTAAAGTGTGGGGGTGGATCTGAGCTGTTTCCCATCTGATTTGTTTCTCTGTGCAATGTCTGAAAGCGGAGGAAAACTTTCCTCGTGCACCTGGAGGAGCAGCACTTACCCATTAGGCAGCGAGATGTAAAACCTGTATTTATTTAACACGAATGTGGTTTGCTCAAGTCTCTGCTTGGCAGGTTACAGTTCCCATCACAGCAGAGCTCCCCTTAACACCTACAAATTTCAGAGGTCTTAATGTCCAGTGGCTGTGATAGCACTTCTCTTTCTTTCCCTCTTTTCCCCTTTTCCAGCGTACTCACCTCCCGCTGTCTGCACCCTCCTGCCCGTGGGGGCTGTGTCCCTATGGATGCCCCTGTGCAGATTTTCCGGGAGGAGCCGGACTCCAGCTGCTCCCCAGGGCCCTGTCGTGCCCCCAGCACCAGCAGCAGCTGGGTCCTGGGCTGGGTGGACTACGACAGCAATGCCACCGGGGCCTTCGAGGACGCCCAGCACAACCACACCAGCATCTCCCCCGCCATCCCCATCATCATCACTGCTGTCTACTCAGTGGTCTTCGTTGTCGGCTTGGTGGGAAACTCTCTGGTCATGTTTGTCATCATAAGGTAAGGGGCTTTGGAGTACCTCTTGGTACAAATGGCCATCCCTAAATTCGGCGGGGGGAACGGGAGTAGTTTGAGGAAGCTCTCTGGGCATGAGGAGCTGCAAAAAAGTAACCGGCATGACCCAAACCTTATCAGTCCCAGTGGTTTGCCTGGAAGCACAGTTGGAGGCAGACGGGAAAAGCTGGTTAAAAGGGATAAATCCCGCAGCCTGCGGGAAAGGCGCGTTGCGCCCCGGAGCTGCGTTCATCGGGTGCCCTCTAGGGATGAGAGGCTGCTCGCATCCGAGGGGAAGCTCGAGTGGAAGGAAGAAACTTCTGCAAGGCAGCCCTTTCTCCCCCCATGAGGAGTCCCCAAGGGACAGCATATGTCTCTGGTCGTGTGGATGCTGATACCGTGCTGCCTAGTGGCTTGTTTAACAAGGTGGGAAGAAAGGAAACGATAAAAATATGTGGAAATGCTTAATGTAAAGCAAGGGATGTTGTTTCTCTGTCCAGTGGCGTTTAACTCCAGTTGTTGGTGTTGGCTTGAAGAAAACAAAACAGATCCTGAAAGGGGTCTACCTCTCTGAATATTTTTCAGGAAACAGGAGAAAGCTGTGTATCTGTGTTAGTTTTTCACATTACACTGTTAGTGAAATGCATGAATACTTACACTTGTACTTACACTTGTGTATTGGTGTGTATTTTAGCTTGCGCTATGATTTCTCTCTCTTTTTGTCCTTTCCTTTTGCAAGTTATAAAAATGTCTGGACAGTGCAGGCAGCAGGACCACAATGAGCAACCAAGGGGACTGAAATCATGTAACAAAAAGTTGACTCCTGCTTCACAGTCTGTTTGAATCTGGCAAAAAAATCTGAAAAAATAGAATTGCTCAAATTAAATCAGTTTGTACACAGAAAGAAAAAGAGAAGTATTGGAAGAGGTCTTGTTAGTAAAGCATGCTTGATAAGGGTCAAGCAATTGCAGAATGGTGAAATAACTGTCAGGTTTGATATAGGGAAAGTTAACTGGATGCAGTGAAGTTCTTGATAAGGTACTTTACAAAAGACGAGTTATAACCAGGTGAACACGCTTGAAAAATGGAAATAAATTCCCTTTAAAAGTCAGTGCAAGAAATAAAGGTGCCTATGATCAATGTAGAGAAACTGGTTTGCTCCAGCTTTCTGATGCTGTAATTTTTATAGCCCACCATGCCCTTTCGCTGTTCATCCAGAGTGGAGATTTTATTTCTTTTCATATTTATCTTGAAAGAAGAAAGCCTCTATGCTTGACACATACACAGCCATCAGTCACTAACAATGATAGTTGATTAACTGGCCTGGGCGCTGGAAATCCAAACTTAGCCAGTACCCTAAAAATTAGCATATATGGATTATACTGGTGCATATGTATTTCCTTTTTCATCTCCTTCTGTTGCCCTCTTAAGATTATTTTTGTGAGGGTCTAGATAGATGTGGATCACTCTCCTACCGGTTGCTACATTAACCTTTTGCTTCAGTTTCCTCTTGGTCCATCTCTTGATTACATGATCAAATAAATAAATAAGTATGACAAAACATCTGTTGTTTTTTTTTTCTCCTTTTTTTTCAGTATTCCCCTCTCCTAGGTTTTCTCTGTGGCAAATGCTTTAAACAGTGCTAGAATCATTAGCTAAAGTATATGTATACACACATCTACAATTTCAAACATTTTTTATAATTTTGAAATATTCCAAATGTTCATGCAAGAGGTGTATTTTTTTCATTTTTGTCCTAGCAGCTCATCTTCCTCTCTCCCTCACATCCATTCTCTGCATGACTGCATCTCAAGATGGGTTTTTCATGACCCATTGAGAAATGTATCCTGCAGTGATATCCTTTTGTTTGGAAAACCAAGGTCTGTGTGAAGTTTGTGAAAGAAAGTGGCAAGGCAGAGCGGGATTGTGTCCTCCAGCCATCACATGTTGCCTCTTGTCCAGCTGCCACAACTCTAAAGGAGGATGGAGACAGACTGTAGCTCTTTACCCTCCAGCTGAGCACAGGGTTTATGTGAGGCCTCTTGTTGGTGTTTCTCATCTCTCTGAATCTCAGATCTGCTCTCCTCCTGCTAACCCCTTCCAGACCAGCAGGCAACGTAGGCCCGGCTCCTCCTCCCTTTGCTCTTTTAAACACCACCTGATATTGTTAGAATAGTTCAGCTGGAAGGGACCTACAATGAGTGGTGCAGTTCAGACGCCTGAGGGATGGGATGCCATCCAGAGGGACCTGGACAAGCTCGAGGAACAGGTCTGTGTGAACCTCATGAGGTTCAAAAAGGCCAAGTGCAGGGTCCTGCACCTGGGTTGGGGAAACCCCGCAGTATCAATACAGGTTGGGGGATGAAGGGATTGAGAGCAGCCCTGCCAAGAAGGACTTGGGGGTACTGGTGGGTGAAAAGCTGGACATGAGCTGGCAATGTGCGCTCACAGCCCAGAAGGCCAACCATATCCTAGGCTGCATCAAAAGAAATGTGTCCAGCAGGTCAAGGGATGTGATTCTGCCCCTCTATTCCATTCTGGTCAGACCCCACCTGTAGTCCTGCATCCAGCTCTGGAGCCCTCAGCACAGGAAAGACATGGACCTGTTGAAGATGGTCCAGAGGAGGGCCACAGAGATGATCAGAGGGAACACGGAACACCTCTCCTCTGAAGAAGTCTGAGACAGATGGGGTTGTTCAGCCTGGAGAAGAGAAGGCTCCAGGGAGACCTTATTGCAGCCTTCCAGTACTTGAAGGGGGCTTGTAAGAAAGATGGGGACAGACTTTTTAGCAGGGCCTGTACCAATAGGACAAGGGGTAATGATTTAAGCTAAAAGAGGGCAGATTTTGACTAGATATAAAGAGGAAATTTTTTACAATGAGGGAGGTGAAACACTGGCACAGGTTGTACAGAGAGGTGGTAGATGCCACATCCCTAGAAACCTTCAAGATCAGGTTGGATGGGGCCCTGAGGAACTTGATCTAGTTGAAGATGTCCCTGCTCCTTGCAGGGGTGTCGGACTAGATGACCTTTAAAGGTCCCTTCCACCTCAAACTGTTCTATGATTCTATGATCACTTAGTCCAACCGCCTGGCCACTTCACATCTGTTGGATGACACAAACAAGACCTCCTTTGTCTTTGACACTGTTGAAATATCAATGCTGTGTAGATTCAGGAGACTCCAAATAGTTTTGTGAAGGCTCAGAAAGAAGCTCCAATTCAGCTATAAGCTGTGATGTAGGCACGCCTTGGCCTGTTTGTTGCTTTAGTATGCCCACAGGGGCAGTTTTGTTACTTCTGCACAAGGGCTGCTGAAGAAGCCTGTGGAGACCAGTGAGTCAGCATCTCAGCAGCCTGCATGCAGCGTGCTGGGTGTCTGAAATCTCCTTCAGGTGTGATGAGGAGTCTTTCTGCTGAGAGGGAAAACACTCTCAGAGTTCCCTCAGAGGGTAAAATAACAGGAGAAGGGCACATTGAGGACGTGTACAAGCTGAAAGAAAAGTAGCTGAGCTTGGTACAGCTCCTGTAAACATAGATTTATGTTGAAGGCAGAGTGGGAATGGTACTTTAGTATGGTTGTTCGCAGCACAGCTTGTTAAACGATGTCTCAGGAGGCCTGGATTCTTCTCTTGATTTTACTACCAAGCTCGAACGCTTTGAACTTCATGGTCCCGTGACTTGTTTTCCTTACATGTAAAATGGAGATACTGGTATTCACTGTCTTTAAACACACAGCAACTTGTAGTTTTAAAAGTCAAAGCCCAATCACTAAAAATCCCAGCAGAGCAAGACCAGGGCTATTGTAAGCACCCCAGACTCCTCAGGCACATTGGGAGTGGGTATTTTTAATGCGCAGAGAGAGCTCTGCGTTGCGTGTGCGATGCAACCTGCGCTCTTTGCACGCCCGTTGCAGGAACTCTCCCCATCTTCACGTCAACCATGAGGCAGGTGTCCCTGCCCCAAGGGGTCTGCTGTCAGGCCAGCAGCCGCCTGGGTGGGCTGGCAGTGCCTCGCTCACACCGAGCCATGGCACACGGGATGCAACGTTCTCCTGAGGCTGTTGCTTTTCCTGGGGAGGGAGTAAGAGAGAAAGAGGACATCACGTTGCCTCTTGTATTGGTAGGAAATGCGGATACTGTGTGGGAAGGGCAGGCCTCCCCTTATGGAGGAGGAGAGGAGGCACGAAATGGGTTTGTAGAAACCAGGTGAAATTACCTGACCTCACCTGAGTAAAGTTATACAGCTATGTATGTCTTGGCATGATCAGAGACTATCTCAACCCCAAATCTTTTATCCTGAGATTAGCTTTACCTTCAAGGTCTTAGAAGATATTTCTGGAAGTGAAATAGTTGGCTGAAGTTGATAAATAAAATGACTTCTCTTTGGAAGCAAAAAGTCTTTTCTTCCCTTCCTCCTCCCTCCTGACTTTATTTTTCTAAAGTTTAGTGCTGACTTTAAAGAAAATGGTGTTTTCTTGTAACAGCTGCACTGGAAGAAAAGTACCTTGACTAAAGATACAACTTTAACTATGGATTTGCTCTTATCAAAACCATAAACTTACTCTGGTAAAAACTCTGTGAGATACTGTCTCTTACCCACCCCAAATTCACTTTTTCTACATGCCTTACCCCCATTGGTCCTGAAGTTATTTACTGAGAGCAGCTGCTATCATCAGGATCCTAAATAGCCAATCCTGTATTTTTTTTAGAATTATCTTTCAAGCTTCCAGTGAACTGAATAATTTTCTACATTCAAAAACAGTTTTAACAAGAGGCTGTGTCACAGATATGTAGATTCATTCCTAAGGGAAAAGAGAAAGCTTGTATTCCTCTGCTTAGTCTAATGTTGAAGAAAAAGTATAACTAGCAATACATTTCTGCTCCTATATTCATTGAACCAAATGGCATCTTATGTAACAGGAAGAGTCTATTAAGAAATGTCATATAAAATTGACTCCTTTCCAGATTGTTTTTAAAACTTCTCCATCATTCATTCCAAACCAGAA